CATTCATGCAATTAAACCGACAAGAATCTAGCCATACATCATGATTAACCCCTTCATCAATCCCAAATCCCTAATTAAAACTACTCACAATTCATAATTGAAGAATCAATAGAATTGGAATAAAAAGAATTAATTGTCATTAATTAAAAAGGTGGAACTTACAAAGAATCCCAAAAGATTGATGAACAAGGCTGAAAAGCCCTCTAAATTTCGTGCTAGGCACTCTCTCTAAGCTCCCCCCTCGAAAACGGGGGTTTACAGGCTGTTTAAATAGAAAAATCGGGTGAAATTTGAGCTGAATTAGGATTTTCGGAGCCAGACACGATGCCAGGCACGATCGTGCCTTCGATCGTGCCTCCAGAGCAAAAACGCGCATTTTGGGCAGGCACGATCGTGCCTCCCTCCAGGCACGATCGTGCCTGGCAGGCAGTAGCTCCGCGGTGCTTTTCTCTTCAGGCACGATCGTGTCTGACTTTGAGGGCACGATCGTGCCTACTTAACTTCCGAATTTGACAAAACTTCCTTCATAAAAGTTGTAGATAATGAAGTCCTCTATCCACCCCAATTTGCCGAATGTGATTTGAATCATCCAATCAAGAGATATGATCAAAACGGTGGAAGGTGTCTTTCTGAAATCACAGCAGAGATCATCTGACTTCATCGTCTGTTTTCACCTTCTTCCTTTCAGATTCTTGAAAAGGTGTCTTCATATGATTTGTAGCTCTTGCAGTTGGCTTTCTTATGCAACTTGAATCGTGTCCATTGGTTGTTCCTACAAAGAGATAAGCTTGAACGATTGACAGAAGGTCATTCTGATCATCGTTTTCAAGCTTCATTCATCTTCTTTTGATCCCGAAGCCAATCCTAGAGCTCTTTTTCCTTCAAATCTTCATTGTGAATCTTCTGGTGACCTCCAAAGCTATCAAATCATTCTCAAATGCTTCTCAAATCATCCCGATTGTTCCTCAAGTGCCGGTACCCGGGCTCAAATTCCCTGATTTTGACTACAAACAACACAAAACTCGAACCAACGCCCGGTAAACATAACTTGAGCTAAAATTGAGACTTGCAACACCTTAAAGCTAGGGAAACCATCAAAATCTGATCTCAACACACATCAAATGCGTGTCAAAATACGGACTTATCAAATTCCCCCACACTTAATCCTTTGCTTGTCCTCAAGCAAACTGAACAACGGGACTTACGATAATCACCACACGGAATCAAAACAATTAGCATGCACACGTAGTTATAGGGATACTCACAGAACAGACAGTCTAAACCAAGAAAATTCAACCCTAAACTACATCTTTGTACTCAAGCTAAACTATTTGACAAAATTATTCACAACATCCTCAAAGTAGTGACAGCACACACAAATAAACTAGCTACCGATCAGAAGGACTTGTGAAAATGGTGGTGAAGGGTGAATGGTAACAATAATAGCCCCTTTGTTTTGAGAGATTGGAATATTCTATCAAAGACTCAATGTATTCAGGAACTTCAGGGCTATTCTTAGGATCAAGAAACTTAGTAGGCCACAATTTAGGAACAATCCTTTAAACCTATGCAAAGAATAGACATGGTGTACAACTAAGCTAAACCGTCTCGGCACATTTGTGCTTTGACGTATACTTGAAGTGCGCGGAGGACTAAAGCTAAATTTTGAGATAGCCTCCAAGTTCATTTAATTATGTTTAGTTTTCCTTGTCATGTTGGCACGAGAACGCCGTTTCTTTCGAAAGTCTCATCTTATGCTTTTTGACCGGGGGTCCCATTCTCTTTTTCGAAAAGTAAGAGGTCTAGCTATATTAATTTTTCACCTTTCGGATTCTCACTAGACATTACCCCATTCTAATCTCGGCCTCACCAAGGAAAAATTGCAATTAAAGTTCATTAATTTAAAGTGAATCCATGCCTACAATGCAATCCTCGAAAGTATCAAATTCCTAAAAGATGACTGTTCTTACCCCCATTTGGGGCATAGGAACAGTGCCAAAATTGGCTCCTACACAGATTCCCTAAACTTAGCAAATTAATCCCTTAGTTACCTAAACATCAAAACTATGTCAGAAATATTCACGGGTAAGGGAACAGGCCATTTGGCTATGGAGCTTAATTAATTGGGTAACAAAGAACGGTCAGGCTCAAAATGGCTTCTCCTAAAGGGTTCTTTCAGGTGAGGGTGGATGATTAATGGAAAATTCAATGGGTGACTAATGCCTTCATCCTCTCAACAACTAGATTATAGTGCAAGCAATTTAAGCATAAACACTTCAAAGATGTTCTAAAAGCATAGTCAAAACACTAGCCAGCTCACAAAGACACAGTTTAAAGAAAAAATTTCAAAAATTTTGCATGAATTTCCTATGAATATACAACCAACACCTGCGCATGCTAACTCTAATAAATCTCATGTAACAACCACTGCCCGAATGCCCAATTCACTCCCCCACACTTAAACTTTGGCATCGCCCTCGATGACCAAAACTGCACTATGCACAAGGGGGGTAAAGGGGAAAGGGTCACGCATGCTCAACTTAACTCAAGTCAATATTTCAAAAAGCGAGTATTAGAGTCACAGAAACTTCCCTAAGGCGTTGGTCGGTGTAGAACTAAACTGAGTCAAGTGATCCTCGACACATCATCCAAACAACAAGACCCTGAGCTGCAACAAAAACACAAAGCAAAACAACCAAACAACAAACAAAACAAAAGCAAAATCAAAAGCAGAAATAAGCTCGGGTTGCCTCCCGAGAAGCGCTATTTTTAACGTCGTGTGCCCGACGATACCTCATAAGCTCTCAAATTGCAAAGACTGTAGTGGTGCACTAACAACCAACGTATCCAGCTTCCTTTCAACAAATGCCAATATGCCATTAAGTGGCGCAGATCCTTAAATTCTCTAGTAAACGTAGGTAGCACATGATCTTCATAACCCTCATCAGCACAGAAGTGAAGTATGAAACTCTCATCCTCTTCGGGCGGACAGAGAACATGAGTGCAAACTTTGATTACTCTAGGTGTCACTGGAAGCTCAAAACATGCCTCCAAGCAAGGAGTAGGAGCAACACCGTAATCAAACTGCACCATAGAAAAGTCTTCTTCTTCCTCACAAATATCATGAAAATTCACAACCTCTCCTCTGGACTCTGTATCACTCCCCATGAAGGCATCCCAACTCTCGTTAACACCGTTCTCATCAGGGTCTTCAAAAGCATCTAGGAAGGTATCATCCGTCATATTCCCACCTTCGCAGTCCGACTCACTCATATGATCGTCCCTATTGGTCTCCTCAGGTTGGGCTTCTGTGTCGCTAGGATGGGATCTCTCGGACTCCTCAGATAAAGCCTTTGCAATCTGCCCCAATTGATTCTCCATGTTCTGCATCCTTGTCTCAATCATTTGCATCCTTGAGTCTGCTCTCAACTGATTTTGTGCTAATTGTTTGAGTACTTCTTCCAAGCTAGAAAGTCTCTTTAAATCTGCCTCCTCCAGATCCTCTTGTTGATTATAAGGCTCATTACTCGGGAAGTATGTAGGAGTGACTGAAACATTTGTGTCCGTAAATTGTGGGGAGGAAGAAGTGGGGTATGCAGTTGCCCAGTAAGGATGGTCGTATGGAGGAATGGGGCAAAGACATGAATGGTGACCACCTCCACAGAAGTTACAAATGCTATTTTTAGGAAAGCAATCAACCAATTCTTCAGGACTTTTAGTTTGAATGAGAAATTCCATTATGGAGCCTGGTTTTGTCCGAGGATATTGTGGATAAGGATACTGATTAGGAGAATGAGATTGGGAGTATTGCGTATTTGGAAGAGGGTAAGAATAGGAAGATGGGAAATTTTGTGGTGTAGGAGAATAATTTTGATGAGATGTGTAATATTGAGGAGGAGGAGGAGGAGTGTAAGGAGGGTATGACATATATGGTGAATATTCCATGGAGGTTTGAGGGTAAGGAATTCCTCCAGGAATTTGGCTGAATGGGTTCATCTCATGCCTCTTTGAAAATTACCTGAAAGGTTAGCACAGAAAAATCCTACAGAAAAACTAAAAGAAAACTAACTAAAAAAAAATCTCGCTGAAATTAATTAACCCTTAAAACCGACACCGTCCCCGGCAACGGCGCCAAAAACTGATGTGAGTTTTCTCGCACTTAAAAATAGATCGTAATATAGTGGTGTAAGTACGAGTATCGTCTCCACAGGGACGGACAAAAGGGAATCAAGAATTAATTAAATTCAGCGATTAACAAGAAAATAAAATAAAAGCGTCGTGCGAGAATTGGTTGGTTTGGAAAATAAAACTAATGCGAACAATTAAACTAGGGGGTTCTTTCTAATTAATGACGAAGGGAACAGGGATCGATTCCGGGGTAACCAGATTTCTGGCAGATCAGGCCTAATTACATGAAATTAATTTAATTGAGCCTAGCTAATCATTACTAAGTTCTTACCGCTCTCGCGGCGTAGAGTACAATAATTTAGGGGACCAGGCTGATCTCTCATGCGACAGGATCCTAAATTATTGCCAAGACGAGCGAGCTTACGGCCCCTTAATCGCTACTAATCTCTTAGCGAACGATTAAGTGTGTGTGAATGTGTCCTAGAACAAATTAGATCTCTCTTAATTTATTTTACATGCAATTGTAATTCTAGTGGCCATCTAGGTTACAAAAGATATCAGTTAAATTATTCAAACACAAATTAAACGGCATTCATGCAATTAAACCGACAAGAATCTAGCCATACATCATGATTAACCCCTTCATCAATCCCAAATCCCTAATTAAAACTACTCACAATTCATAATTGAAGAATCAATAGAATTGGAATAAAAAGAATTAATTGTCATTAATTAAAAAGGTGGAACTTACAAAGAATCCCAAAAGATTGATGAACAAGGCTGAAAAGCCCTCTAAATTTCGTGCTAGGCACTCTCTCTAAGCTCCCCCCTCGAAAACGGGGGTTTACAGGCTGTTTAAATAGAAAAATCGGGTGAAATTTGAGCTGAATTAGGATTTTCGGAGCCAGACACGATGCCAGGCACGATCGTGCCTTCGATCGTGCCTCCAGAGCAAAAACGCGCATTTTGGGCAGGCACGATCGTGCCTCCCTCCAGGCACGATCGTGCCTGGCAGGCAGTAGCTCCGCGGTGCTTTTCTCTTCAGGCACGATCGTGTCTGACTTTGAGGGCACGATCGTGCCTACTTAACTTCCGAATTTGACAAAACTTCCTTCATAAAAGTTGTAGATAATGAAGTCCTCTATCCACCCCAATTTGCCGAATGTGATTTGAATCATCCAATCAAGAGATATGATCAAAACGGTGGAAGGTGTCTTTCTGAAATCGCAGCAGAGATCATCTGACTTCATCGTCTGTTTTCACCTTCTTCCTTTCAGATTCTTGAAAAGGTGTCTTCATATGATTTGTAGCTCTTGAAGTTGGCTTTCTTATGCAACTTGAATCGTGTCCATTGGTTGTTCCTACAAAGAGATAAGCTTGAACGATTGACAGAAGGTCATTCTGATCATCGTTTTCAAGCTTCATTCATCTTCTTTTGATCCCGAAGCCAATCCTAGAGCTCTTTTTCCTTCAAATCTTCATTGTGAATCTTCTGGTGACCTCCAAAGCTATCAAATCATTCTCAAATGCTTCTCAAATCATCCCGATTGTTCCTCAAGTGCCGGTACCGGGCTCAAATTCCCTGATTTTGACTACAAACAACACAAAACTCGAACCAACGCCTGGTAAACATAACTTGAGCTAAAATTGAGACTTGCAACACCTTAAAGCTAGGGAAACCATCAAAATCTGATCTCAACACACATCAAATGCGTGTCAAAATACGGACTTATCAGTATACTATCTTCAAATCCCGTCTCCATCTCCGCATTATGTATTGGTCGGGCAAGATGTCCACTCCATTGCGCATTAGGACCGTAATCATATGTTTACAAACGATGCCTCTAAATTCAAATAAATGACAATTACATTGTCCTTCATTCAAGGTCTTGTCATATTCAACTATGTAGTTAGTAGTCTTGGCAAACGCGTTAATTCGTTTCACTTCTTTCACATGAAGCGTTTTTTCATCTTCACATTTAAGTAGGTCGCAATACAACTTGCCGATTACTTCTTGAAATTCCTTAAACTTTGCAAATGTGTATAATCCTTGCACTTGTTTCTCCATTTCAAATATCTAACACATGAAATCATTTTTGTAAATGATTTTGTGTCTGCGTGAAACTCTTTTTCTGCCTTACATCTCAAAGCCCGACCGTATTGAACCACAAATTGTTTGAGACTTGTTTTGGAGTGCACAAAACCATCAAAGAATGTGTTCGTGCTCTCACTTCTTTGTGTGGTGGACATACCCGCCCATAATGTAGGTTTAAGGTAAAAAGGTACCCACCGTTGACGTTTAGTGTACATCACCCAAGCCAATCATCATCTTCAAGTGAATACCTACGACAAATAAGCAATATGTGATACACCCAAACAATTAGTGTGGGCCGAACAATAAATGTCTGTCACGAATAGGTTTTGTATGTTAGTTAACCATGAAGAATAATATTGTCCCAGACTCAAATATCTGTGAGAGACAACTAATGTCTGTGAGACAGAAACAATTACTTCACTCCAGACATCAATGTCTGTGAGACTGCTAGCAATTAACATTTTAGGGTTTCAGCAGTTTTCTATTTTTTTTTTATTTTTAAAATTCAAAAAAATTAAAGCAGGGTTATTTTTGTCCACCTAAGTTGAATTTGGTCCTATATGTGTAATTAGCTTTCCTATTAGTCCTATTTGAGTCATTAACTCTCCGTGAAAAGTGTCTTCACATACGAAAAAATGTCTTTTCACATACGCGTGTAAAAACATATAAACAGTAAAAACGTGTATAAAAAGAATTGTTCTTATTATTTATTTCATACTAACAATTGGGTATTAATGAAAAACATGTATCAAAATTCTTATGGTTGAATTGATTGAATAGGTTGATTTTACTTTTTCCATATTATTCTTTTTACTTTACTAATAAAATACGGAGTATATTTTACAAAAATGTTAGGTGTACACAAAATGTGTACATCGTTGGCACCCCATATAAAAATCTCCCCTTTAATTTTTACCATCCTTACCCCCCACCCCCCAAAAAAAGACACTTCTCTCCACTCACAACCCCCTCCTCCCTCCCGTGCGCTCAACTTCTTCTGCCAAAAACATTTCGGAAGAAACGATCGAACTACAGTGACTCAACCAAACGACGGAAGACTGATTTCCATCATCGATCTTCTCCGTTGAAACTCTTCTTCAATGGAGCTAAACGGGAATGATACATCCCAGTGAGTTGATGACTTAATCTTGGATAGTTTGACTTTTGGAGAGCTAGTTGATGAAGGTGCAGACGATGCTCGTACGCCGGTTGCCGTTGAACTGGATGTGAGGTCAAGGGAAGACGATGAACAAGGTGCAGACGTCGAAGGCTTGAGTAGGTGTTGTTGTCTTGGTTTTGTTTTCCTGATTTTCTTGATTTTGTTTTCTTGATTTTTGGTGTATTTTGGATGTGAAAAGGGTTTCTGTCTAACAGACAACTTGTAAGTGCAATGTCTGTCTACTGAAACATAGTTTCACATCTGTTTAACCCATATATAAAATGTATGCCTAACAGACAACTTCATTTGTTTGTCTACATAGAAATAATGTCTGTATGACATGCAATTATTGGTACAAATGTGTTTTGTAGTATGTTTTGATAGCTACTATAGTTGTTATGTAAAAGTGTGTATAAGTGTTGGACATGTAACTATTTTCGTGAATGTAGACAAGAATGTGGTGGAAAAAATTTATGCATACTATTGTCTGTCTGGACAGACAACATGTGTGTTGTTGTAAATTGTTATCAACATGTATTTTTATTTGGAATAACAAACGAAGGAGGAGTAGGAGGAGGAGGAAATACGATGGCGTACCTGCAGTGTGGTGAAGCGGCGAAGCGGAGGCAGTGGAGGCGACGAAGGCAGAGGCGATGGAAGCATTATCCGGTGGAGTAAGCGATGCGACAGATCTAAGCGAAGAAGGGATGCGATTACTATTTGCTTTGGGGGCCTGGAGAAGTAATCGGTCGATCCATGAGTAAGGAAGGGGAGAGAGAACGTGCAAATGTGTTGAAGGGCAATATTGGGATGCTAATTTTTTTTTGTTTTTAACCGGAGGAATAAATTAGTCCTATTAAGTGAAGAAAACATATCAAGTTCTATTTTTGCATTTCACCCTTGTTTTAGTCCTATATGGAACAATTACTAATAAAAATTGTCTTGACAAACGCGTGTAACAACGTGTAAGAGCATCCACAATGGGACCATGAATCGGGCAAAAATGGATTGCCACGTCAAATAAATACACACTCAGATTAATTTGTTGCTCCAGTGGTAATGTCTAAACAAAATGGATTGCTGAGTTGGAGCGCACTAAATCGCACTGTCGATTCCTCTTTTGATTTTCAGAAGGCCTTATCCACAGCTGAGTCATCAAAAATTAAATAGTTTCCGCCGAATCTAATTTTTTTAAGTTGGCTCACCAAACTCAACCGACATACTACGTATGTATCCTTCTGCGGCAAAGAAGAAGACTTTTGCGGAGCGTCTCCAACACCACACATCACCGGATGCCGGAGGAGCATGCAAATACGAAGTCATCAGATCCGTTGCCAGATTTTTTTAGCGTTTCATGCCGGAACCACCGAAAGGAGATTGACGCTAATCTGTGACGGTGAAAGGAGAGGAGAAACGGGTAATCACCGCCGAGCTACAGAGCTTCCGGAGAGGGTGTGTCTCTGCGCCGGAAAACTATAGAGGACAGCAAGACTGCCCTCTGAAAATAGTGAATTGCCGGACTGCATCACCGTGTTCTCGTGACTATACAGCCTGATATTTATGAACGAGAGAGAAGTAAAACTCCGTGGTCATATCTTTTCTCGCCGGCGAAACACGGAGATGACAAGCCGCTGAAGTTGCCGCTTTTTTCAGGTATGCCAGCCGTTGAAGATGATGAAGAAAACTAGAAGAAAGGTTTAGAACGTTGAACTGAGATTTCCTAACCTGATTGATTTGGCGGACGCGTGGGGCTTGAAGATGAGAGGGGGAAGGTTCACACTTCCGGAATGCCTGAATAAGAACATATATGTTCGGTGCAGATAGCCTGGGTCTGAGATCTTGAAGACTTGAAGCATTAAACCGAGAACACCGGCCTGGGACACCGACACCGAAGCGGTTGTTTTTACATAAATGGGTGCTTGTGGCTGTTTTTTAGTAATGACTAATTTCTGGATCCACGATTGCATTGGAGCGGTCCATTTAATTTAAAGTAGATTCTATGGTACCCATAAGGTATCATACCTTTGTCCACATGGACCAATGAAAATGTATCAGTTGAATTATTTAAATCTAAATTAAAAATGATAAAGTGATGTGGTCCAATCAAATGAATGATAGGTACGTTACCCCATTTTTAGAAGGATACCGAAGTTGTCACCTTAATTTAAACGTTTATGTATCCACCTCAGCTTCACGGACCTTCTATTCACGTGACGTGTCCATTTTTAGGAGCTACAATCCACTTCGCCATTAAAGATCTCTAAAGATTGAAAACCATGTATGATTTTCAATATATATAATTCTTGGAGGGGTTTTAGGAGATCTAAAACCCACTAATGTATAATTCTTGGGTGTCAATATATATTTACATTTCATCCAAAAAAAAATCTAAAGATTGAAAATCATGTACAACGGGAACTTTTGAAAATATAACTACTCTGTAGTAATAATAAAAAAAACTGATAAACCAACAACTAGGCTTGCTTAAACAGTTAAACTGCACCGAAACCTTATGCGATTTTTGCACCCAAATGTTGAACCATTGTCTACCTTCGTCTTCAGCGGGAGGAGTTCACAGTCAAAAACCACTATGCTCTCATCATCTCCAAGCTCTGTCTTCTCACTCTTCCATTTCTGCAGTTCACAAATCAAACCTCAAAGCATCTTTACTTCCCACCGATAAGACATTGCAAAGGAGAAAGCTTTCGTTGGTATGCCGCCATTCCGAGTACCTCGAACCTCATCAACCACAATGGGGTTCCTCTAATGTCTCTCCCATTTCTTCACAACCAGGTGCCAATGATAAAATTTTCATTTTCTATTCGCTATTTTCGTCCTTTCTTGTTGCTGCAAACCTTAATGGAGCTTCTAACTTCCTTTATAAGGTGATGAACTGGATAGATACTAATTGAGGGTTTAGGCAGATCACTTTATTCATTTATTTAATTATTTACTTATTGTGTAGTGACTAGTGAGTAGTTGTACCAGGTAGGGTAGTAGTATAGGCTCTGAAGCTCTGAATGTTTCATGTTCCCATGGGAACCCAATTTAAGGCATGACAAAAGCCCCGTTTATTGATAGAAAAAAGGTGAGTTTTTTTTTTAACTCATGTTGGGAGAGTTATGATGGAATAAAGCAAAATGACTCACTTAACTGTTTGCTTACATCCGACCCTCCTTACCCCACCGTAGGTGGGAGCCTTTGCGGCACTGGGGTAATGATGATGATGATGTTGGGAGAGTTGTGAATGGTTTTCTTTTTATTTCGTGTAACACGTCTTTCCATCAGTGACTTAGATTGAGCTTTTCTTGTTGAATTTCAAATGAGACAAGGAAAAGTGGAAGTTTTCTTTAACTTCGTTTGAGTTGTCCTGTGATGGCCTGCGTAGACACATAGTATTCTTCTATTTGTTTTTGAGAAACAAAAACAGTTAATGTGCTTTGATCTTACCAGGAACATTGCCGCCCAAGGTTTTTGTTGGTTACTCAATTTATAAGGGGAAGGCTGCTCTTACAGTGGTGCCTTGTGCTCCAGAGTTCTCACCTTTAGACGTATATGTTCATAAATGATTCTTCATGTTATGAGTATGTTAGCAAATGAAGTTGTTCTCATTTATAGTTATTTTTTTAGTATATTTTGATTCGTTTGTGGTTAAAAAATCTGGGCAGTCAGGGGCATTCAAACTGTCAAAAGAGGGTTTTGTGTTACTTCAGTTTGCTCCTGCAGCTGGTGTTCGTCAGTATGATTGGAGCAGAAAGCAGGTGATCACTTTTCAATGTCTACCATTGCTTACTTCATGTTTTTACTTGGACTAAATATTTCAATTTACTACATGTGACTTGATTTGCAATTAGGTAATTTCACTTTATCTGTCTCCAGGTGTTTTCATTGTCAGTTACTGAGTTAGGGTCTTTGATTAGCCTTGGGGGAAAAGAGTCATGTGATTTTTTTCATGACCCTAACAAAGGAAAAAGGTATGATGAAATGAAAGTCAAGAAGGAGTTGAATGTATAATATGTTTCCAATAATTTTTAATGAAATAAATATAAATGTCTCAAGGGAAATCACAGGGTTGTTGCTGTGTGATCTTTGGTCATGGGTTCAAGTCTGGGGAGTGGCCTCTTGTCAAAACGACAATGGAAGGCTTGCCCCCACCTCCATACACCCTTGTGGTGGGACCCTTCCTGGACCCTCTCTTTGTAAGGACACCAACATGCACCGGGCTGTCCTTATAAATATGAATGTTTTGTTTGCTTTTGTTTGTTTGTAGTGATGAAGGCAAAGTCAGGAAGGTGTTGAAGATTGAACCCCTACCTGATGGATCTGGCCATTTCTTCAATCTCAGTATGTATTTCATACTTCGTCTCCAATATATGTGTTGTATATAATATTTTTTTTTTATTTCTGTTATGGTAAAATGAATTGAAGGTGTGCAAAACAAGCTTATAAATGTTGATGAAAGCATCTACATACCTGTTACAAGGGCTGAATTCACTGTTCTTGTATCTGCTTTCAATGTAAGATGCATCTCTTATTGCTTCATATATATAGCTTCCCTAATCATGATGGCGACTTATTTCCACTCAAATCTGTGTATGTGTTCTTCTGCAGTTTGTATTGCCATATCTTTTAGGTTGGCACACCTGCGTAAGCTCCTTCATTCCAGATGAAGAGACAAGCCATGCAAATACTGCTAATCCCAGATCAGGTGCTACTTTTGAGTGGCAAAGATAGATATGAGAAATGGTACTGACTTGTGAGGTCACTGGTGATGGGCTTGCTTCTTGCACTTCAAACTTTTTTCCATCACTCTTTCATCTGGTCATGATGTATTTTGTTGGGTGCAAGTTGTAACCGGGTACATAACACCGAACGCTACCATTATGAAACATTAATGTAGTCGTTATGCAATATTAGTTGTTATGTGCTTTTTGTTGAATTGTGTGGTATTAGTATGCTTGCTGATTATGGAAGATTTCAAGCCATTGTCAATGAATCATCACAATCATGTCATAATGAGCGAGTAGTTTATTGCACTATTTCCAATTTTTTATTATTAAATACTCGATCTAATCAGGGATGTTTAATAGGGTGAAGTAGGAACTTATTCACATAGCATTTGCTTCTTTAATTTTCATACAAAAAGTAATTCACACTTATATATTTGGACGAAGAGTCACTTAGTGCTATGAAAAGGTAAAAGTGTAAAATAACTTTTGATGACATTATTATATTTTATGATATTTCTCATATTTTAATAATTACCATAATGTGTTAGTTTTTTAAATAACTATTGGATTCTAAGCCTATTATCCAACATTTGATCCAAGGACCGATCATTTTAGACACTTACGGAGTAATATTTATAATCACTGGTTTTGCAGTGGATCAGACAAGCAATTTACTTGTGTTCAACCCCGGGTGCACCTAAAATTTGGCCTGGTGTATATGGTGCTACATACTAAACAAACAAAAATACTAGTTCTTCAGTTGTAGCGGATTTGCTTCATTGACATATGCTTTGGTGATATTCATCAACACTTCCAAACTATTTGACTTATGCTTTAAGTTGAATGTATATCCTATATTTCCAATCAAGAAATGTTGTAAAATCTTCTGCATTTCTTTACTTGAGACTTTGAACAACACAGTAAATGAGTATCATTTTCATTTTCATTTACCCCAGTGCCACAAAGGCTCCCACCTACGGTGGGGTAAGGGGGGGTCGGATGTACGCAGTCTTACCCCTGTACTAAAGCACAGAGAGACTGTTTCCGGATGACCCATAGTGAAAATCGCGTCCAAAATTGCATAGATTGACTGCTGCTTCATAACAAAGAAGCACAGGCAGTTTAGTGAGCCATTTTGCTTTATTCCATCATATTCTCAAGCCAAAAAATAATGAATCTTTGGCTCCATTGCAAATGATGGAAATAACACAGTAAATGAGTAAATAATATAATTATTATGTAGTACGTCCTAAGAATATTTTCCATCATTTGCAATGGAGCCAAAAGTTCACTATTTTTTGGCTGAGAAATGTGATGGAATAAAACAAAATGACTCACTAAATTGTTTGCGATTCTTTGTTATAAAGCAGTCTCTCTGTGCTTTAGTATAGGGGGTAAGTAGGTAAGTCTGCGTACATCCAACCCCCCCTTACCCCACCGTAGGTGGGAGCCTTTGCGGCACTGGGGTAATGATGATGATGATGTCCCAAGAATATACATTGAGAGAAGGTTCGATTCAAATAAAAATGTGCTTAACGTGTGAGGTGCGAAATATTTTCTTGTACATCGCTACATTGCACATTTATGTTCATGTAATGTACTTTGAACGTTTGTAAAAAATTCATCCATTTATAAAATTGCCACTGCATTTTTTTCTTCAAAAAGTATAGTAAAATTCACTCATTTTTGCTACCGAGTAAAGTATAATACTTCACCTATAAATGAGTAGAAGTGCAGTTCGCATTTTCAAACGTTAAGAACTTCTTTATTTGATCCATGTTCTATATATACATATATATGTGTGTACAAAAAATATATTTATATTTATATATAATTGTTTAAAATCTTAAATGTATGATATGTTGCAACTTCATTTCAGCACAATTATTCAGCTAGCTAGTGGTTTGTCATGCACAATACCCTTTCACAGACAGATTACAATGTTTGAAAATGTCAAAGTTTAGTTACAACATGCCCACTTAGGTTTCCGCTGATCTTCCCACTGAGGTTTCCACTGTTACCCCCATCCTTCTTGAACCTGAATTGAGTATTGAAGATGCCAAAGAACATCCTCAATCGACGGGCGCTTGCTCGGTTCTTGATTGAGGCAGTTCAATGCTATCTGGACAGTTGTTTTGAGAGATTCATGTGCAAATGTACTTCGTATGCATGGATCTGTTAGATCACGCAGCTTTCCTGGAGATTCTGCTAAGCATGTCTCTATCTGTTATGTCATAAAAAAAGAGACCATCTTGTTTTAGCATCTCTTCAATGTATTCTTTGGGGCATGGGTTGTTTACTTGGAATTGTTTTATTACCTGTTGTTTAAGGTCTTTTACTTCAGCTTGAGATGTGATTGGTCTACCAATAATTAGTTCAATCAGAATGACTCCTAGCTGATATATATCATCTTGTTCTGCATTCTTTGAACTGTTTTTTTAGGTCTGGTGAGTAAATAGTATATATCTCAATTAATTTCAAGAAACTTAGTCATTGAGTTGCAGGAGTACCTGGTACGATCCCGATCATGTGCATTGCGAGAACTTTCAGATACAATCTGTGGTTGCAAGTAAAAAAAGAATTAGAGCTCACGGGTTAGATATTTTCACTTTAGATGTATCAACTTTTCAAGTGATACTGTCTTAGGTGAAATGCCTTTTAAAAGTATTCTTTTCACAATTTCACCTCAAAATTAAAACTGTTAGAGGGTTTCACACATTTTTTTTTGTTCTTTGCAAGCATTAGTACTTAGTTTACTACCTTGGATGGGAGAGAAATGTTAAAGTTGCAAAGCCTAGCAGTTAGAGTCTCATCCAACAACACATTCTCAAGTTTTAAGTCATTCCCAGTGACCCTTCCTGCATGCAAATATTGGATTCCCTTTGTGATCCCAATTGCCATTCCCATTCTTTCAGGCCATTTTAAAACATCCCTCTTTCTCCAATCTGTCAAAAGTAGCAGTAATGTACAATTTGTCATTTAAAAGCACAATTCATTTCTTTATTACCAAAAAAGAATTGATTTTTTGTTTTTGTTTTTACAAGTCCATATAAAATTACCAGTGAGCTGGTCCTTTAGGGAGGATGCACCGGCAATGTTTTCGAGCACTATGAACAGAGTGGTAGATGCAGTGGGAGGGTGTTCTTGGGAGGTAACAAGGGAGTGACCAAGTACACTGATCAAATGCCTATGCCTCAGCTTCAATATGGCATCCATGTGTTGTTGAAGAACTTGTGTTGAATGCTTCTGCTGCATTAATTTCTGACAGTTGACCAGGACCCCTGTTCCATCTTTAAGCTTACCTCTATACACCTGCTCATTTTTTAAAAAACACTCCATATTAAATAAATGCCCCTCCTTAAATTCCCAACTGCTTCATGCCTTGAAAAAGACCCAATCCTACTTGACTTAATGGCATTGCTAAGGATCTGACTATGACAGTGAAAGAAAACCAATCCCTGTTTAAATGATCTTTCAGCTACCTCATTTGGTACTTTTTCTTTTGGGCTGATTCAGCCGCATATAGGTTGGTTTTCTATCAAAATATTTTACTAGTAGATATTACGAAGACTCTCTATTTATTGTAGCCACTTCATGTTCCTTTTGAAGAGATTTATTAATAATTGCTCTGTTTTTTTAATCTTTTGCATCTAGCATCATTTTAATTTTTAAAAGGAGAAAAGAAAATCAGCACTTTTTCATGTTTTCTTTCTTACCTTTATTTTTTAGTTTTTCATCACTTCTCCGGTCTCTTTTGTACAATTACTTGTACATTTTTGCTAATAAATTCTATGAAAAATCCGAAAATAATTAAATGTGAATGGAGAGATAATTGTGTAATTTATTAACAAATACTCCCTCCATCCCCTAAAACTTTGTCATCTTTTCTTTTTGGGTTGTCTCAAATTTTTTATCCCTTTCCCTTTTAATCAACTAATTTGTGGTTCTCGTTATTTCTCTCATATCTCCATAAATCTCAACCACACAGTTTTTACTTTATTATTCTCGGTACCGATCAGACTTGGCAAAGTTTTAAGGTATAAAGGGAGTACCTTTTTAGATAATTTGCTTATTCCTCTATTTTCAATCATGATATTAGCAAATTCAGTTCATTCAGCTAAATTTACCTCTAGCAAACATGGCTCTCAGTGAATTATTTAATATCGTCTTATACTACGTATGAGATATAATATTGTTTAAGTATTGGAAAGTCCAAAGCATAATCTCCATTTAATAATTAGTACAGAAAATAATTCTCAATCATCTCAAGTACCTGCTGGCCCTGAGATCCTTCTCCAACAAGATTGGATGGATCAAAGTGGTTGGTTGCATCCTCCATTTCCTCCTGTGTGAACACATTGTACGGTGGCAATCCTATGGACGCCATCCTCGTCGGCCTTCTCGAATTCCCTAACCGATAATCCAACACACCATTAGAATTTAGAAACAGGGGTATTAGTAATAAAAAAATCAGCTAATCATTGTTTAAATTTACCTCCATCAAAATGGCTGGATGGGTTAGTGTTGAAGGTGAAACTGCCACTCTTCTCCTGATCTCTTTTTCTAGATACTTTCCTGTAAGTGGCTAAGACCAAGAATCCAATGGCGCTAAAAACTGCCACAATTCCCCCAACCACACCAAGAACTATCCCAAGCTTGATTGTGGAGGATTCATGGTGTTCCTCACCTCTTGAATTTGGATTAACAGCTATTGCCTTCTCGGCACAGAAAGAATGTGCATGCTGATAAAACCTTGATGAGGTTGTATTACCGAGACAGTTCCATAGACTGATAACGGTCCGATTTCCTGAGTTTGATGATCCTTGGAGGCAAACTGGGAGCTTCCCTATTAGAAGGTTGTTAGAAATGTCCACAAAGTTAAGGCTTTTGCTGCATGAAACACTATCAGGAAGCTCTCCACTGAACTGATTCCTTCCAAGATTTATGTACTTTAATGATGACAATGAAAACAGGAAAGATGGGATTGACCCAACCAGGTTGTTGGCATAAAGATCCAAAATTTCCATACTTTTCATCTTTTCCATCTCTTCTGGAACTGCAGACCGCAGAGAGTTGTTGCTCAGAACAACTTTAACTAGGTTGCTTCCCAAGGAAGGGAAACCTGGTCCTAGGCTATTCCCACTCAAATCAAGCTCTTCTAGTGCTGACAACCCCTTCAGATCGGGGACACTCCCATTGAAAAAGTTGTCACTCAAAACCAGGCTCTTCAGTTTCTTGAACTTGACTATGGATTCAGGGATGCTTCCATGGATTGGGTTTGAGCTTATGTTTAACACCTCCAGACCGACAAACCGGCTGACCTTAGTGGGTAAGGTTCCTGTCAACCCAAGGTTTATGAGTGACAGCCTCTTCAAGCTGGAGAGCTTGGTGAGGAGTGTGAAGAATGAATCAATGGAGAATTTCTGTGAGAGAGGAGGGTGGGGGGAAGTTGTGTTTCCAACAATGGTGAGCTCTGTAATGTGATTTCCAGAACAGGTGATCACCAGAGACGGGGTCTGCTGGACAGAGCAGAAGTTTGTCCACTTGTTCCATTCTTGAAGAACTTGTGGATACTCCAGAAGGTCCTGCACCTGGAGAAGTATCCTTCTTTCTGGTGGTGACAACTGCTGTGCAGATGAGAATGGGATTTGCAGAAGAAGAACCCATGATACGAAAAAAGTAAGAACTACCCAAAAATTGCATGGAGACAGTTGAGAAGAGGATTTCATCTTCTTTTTTTGTTCTTTTAGTGATGAATCTCAAGTTCCCATCAAACCTGTATGAGACCAAGCACAGGTTTTGAGAGCTTTTCACTATGGTCTGTGTCAATGTGTCATATATCCAGAAAAAAACGAGTTCAAAAAGAGAGTAAAGTATTTGGTGAACCTATGAGAGAATCTAAAACAGGAAGTCTTTGTTTATACTACTGAATAATAAGCCAAAGAAAATAGGGATAATTTTGTGGTATGGAGTTCCTGGGTCCAAATATCCACTGAAGCATAAAGATATTAATGATTTGATCTATTAAAAAAATGGTATACAGACAGGATGGTTCACAGTGATATAATGACATTCAATAAAGTTAGCCAGTGTGAATGAATGTATGAATGTATGTGTGTGTATACAATATTAATATTAATGGAATAACATAAAATAATGTAAAGCATCCCTCAATTCCATGGTCTGATAGGACCATTGAGGGGTATATAATAGTGACCAGTGGTCCTTTAAGTGTGAATTGTGAGGGTAGGTGTTTGGTGATGACATGGAGTCCATCGGTCCATCCTATTTATTGCATGTAACTCTATCTAAGTATCATTAGTGATTGATTAGCTTTTATTCATCAAGTCATTGCCCCTTTCTCTGGTCATTATTGATGCTAGTAGTTTACTAGATAGTAGATACTGAGTATTGTTTCTTATGTCATGTTTGTTTAGCAACTCCAATGGTAGAGTCTATTTCAAAATATCCATACAACAACAACATTCAAGCCTTAATTTCAAAAGATTTTGGGATTGACTAACATGAGTCGATCCATGATATCGATGCCAAAAAGAGCATTTCAAAATATCCTTATTAAGAAAAAATAGAGAGCCTTTCAAATAAAAATAGAGAGAAAATGGTAATTCGAATTAAAAGTATGGCAAACACAAAAGGGGTATAGAGATAAATCAAGTTTAGGTATTTGATCTCTGAGACTAACAAAATACATTTGTCGATTTTATATGAGACTATAGAAAACAATGGAGTAAAAAAACATTTGAAATTGAAAATTGGAATATATTGAAACATATGGATCCTATGTAAAACACTGTATAAAATTTAGTTTCCATGTATAAAAAACGGAGTATCAAACAAAAATGGACTTACGAGAAAGTCTTGGAGTCTATAATTTTGTTCGACGCTTGCTTTGTAGTGCAATTTTAGTTTAACGTTATTACTCCATCCGTGTATGTGTCTTATTTTTTGTTTTCGAATTGTCTCAAAATAAGTAGGTAAACATTATAAAACGTGTATATTTTGGAAATTCATATTGATATGAGTTCAATAACATTTTATAAGTAATAATTTGATTATGTATATTAGTAAAAAATCGTAGTCAAAGTAAGTCCGTGATTAAGGCAAAAATCACAATATTGCAAGAATTAAAGAACGAAGTATATAATTGTCATTTTTACTCGATTCAAACTTCAATTATAATTTTCACTTTTCAACAAGTACATGAAATTGTGCGGAGATAGTATTTATTATATTGAATTAAATTGAGGAAAATTATATTTGTACACAAAATTAGTACACAAATTGTACTTAACCCCCTCTAATTGTCTGTATACACAGACAATTCACTTGAAAAATTGAAGAATTTTTATGTCAAAGTGCATGTGTACACAGACAATGCACAAATTTTGTGTGCAACAAGAATTGTCCAATAACATATACGAAGTACAACTTTCATCTACTACATACAGTAGCTTTTTTAATGAACTCTCACTTATATAATCCACGAGCATTACAATTACACATTTAAAAGAGAATATGAAAGACAACCAAACATATATCAACAAAACAAAAAATGCCGAATAAAAAACCAAGAACATTAAAATGTGTTAGGTATTAGCATAAACAAAATCCACATGGCCTGTACCAAAACTGGTTGTGTTTATGTTTTTATAAATGGTATAGATAGTGCAGAAAATCATTTTTGGGTCCAAAATTGGATTTACCAAAATACTGTAGACGAGAATTTATAAGCAAAAGAGATGAACTTCGATGAATTGAATGTGAGCTGGAAATTGGGCAATGAGAGAGTGTGTAATTGAAGTTCTCACTTTAAGGTAACATGGGCTTATGGGCCCATTGGGTCTACCACTAATGGATGTGCTGATAATGAATAGTGCAAATTACCCGTATAGTTCATTTTTGTGCCACTCATATCGTTCGTGTCCCAATAATTTTATCTTTTCATTTTTAACTTTTTTGTTTTCAATTATGTTTATATATTTCACTTTTAGACTATTCTGCCGTCATCCATCCCATCTACGGAGTAGATTAGAACTCACGCCTCTGCAAATCAGTGATTCCCAAATCAGTAAGCATCGACCCACATCCGCTCTTCTCATCCGCTCTCCTCTCTTTTCTCTGGCTCTCCGGCTCTCCGGATCTCCGGCCACTGTGAAGCATCGTCGACGACAACCGCTCTCCTCTCTTTTCTCTGGCTCCTCGGCTCTCCGGATCTCCGGCCTCTGTGAAGCATCGACGCCAATTCAATCGCTCATAGGAAATTGATGCTACAGATTGCAGACTAACCATTCACGCCTCAGCAAATCAGCGATTCAGTGATTAAGTTTCTCAATTCTCAGGCTGTGTTGGTACGTTAGTTCTGCTACCCTCATACGTTTTCATTTACTTATTACAACTTTTTATTTTCAATTTAGTATTATCATTATATAATAATTATAGATCTGTAATACTCCGTACTATTTTGGAGGAGTATCTGAAACATAAGGAGTTTCGAACTGAAGCCTTTCCTCCTACTCCTCTGAGCGTATGAATTTTGATTACCATTTCAGTGCACTATAAGTTGGTAGTAATTCCTTGATTCATGACCATTTGAATTATTATTAGTCATATTATATTCAATAGAGCTTGTATCATAATAAAATGCTTCAAAAGCTCTTAGAGCTTCTTGTAATTCGTTTGTGCTGTTACTCAAAAGAAAGTGTCAAACAAGCTATTGGACCAGACAAGTGTGATCCATTTGTTTAAAATTACAAAGCATTTAGGACTTCTTGCTACTGGAGTGACTGCTGATGCCAGGACATTAGTCCAACAACAAGGAATGAAATTTTAGTAGAAGTGTGATCCAACTGGTCTTTTTTCTATCAGTAGGCAACATCTAAGATCCCCTATTGACACATTTTTGGAGAACATGGTGTTTTTACATGTTAAGTTATCTTTATAAGTAGTTCTAATATGCTCATCTAGTTTAAGATGTCATTGGCAGAGCTTGAGAAGCTAACTCATCTTGGAGAACTGATTCCCTGTGTTCTGTTTCAAGTTATCTCCAACAATTTCTGTAATATTTAAAACAAAATTGTGTTTATTACTTGAATTTAAAGGGTTAGTTTTATTTCATGTTCAACTAATCAATGGCAGGTGTATGTGGAAAGGTGTTGGACAATTGGAGATCTTAGTTTGAAAAGAATTCACTTGATTGGTAAAAGTGATGCAATTTTACCAATGTCTGAATTTGAAAATGTCTGAATATTCATATTCACTGGCAGCCTCTAGATATATTGTTTTTGTGTTACCAGGATAACGCGATGAAGAATGATGTGAGCACAAGATTGTACAAAAAAGGACGTATTTGAAGCAGAGGATGAAACCAAGTCATTTAGTTCTATTGGGAAGTTAGGTAATGAGAACACTTAAGCTTTGAAGGGAACTGCTAAGAAGGTGTCTATGCCAAAGGTGAAGCTCTTAAGGGAGAGAAGGGAGCAGCATATCTGTTTATATAATGTCAAAAATAAAGTTGTGAATATTAGATTGAATTGAATATTTTTTGTGATACTCTTGTATATTATTTTTGTTGCTTGTTGTTGTATCACATGTATTTCATGTTGTTGCATTGTGTTGCTTTTTGTTGTATATTGTTACTTTTTGTTGCATCGTGTTTCTCATAATTGTGTGTTGTTGATTCTGATTTTTGTTGTTTATTTAGATTTCTATTTATTTTTCTACATCTTTAAAATAGAAAAATATATTTAGTTTTAGTCGAAATCACTTAGATACAAACACTTAAAATGTTAAATTTCGATTTATGAATATGAAAAGCAGCATGAAACATAAAGAAACAATAAGAAACAAAAAATTCATAATTATCAACAAAAAGAAACACAAAGAAATGATAAGAAACAAAAACTAACAATAGATTGACAATACTAATAATTAAAATTTTAGGTACTTTAAGAACAATCACATTAGAAAAATCGTATTTTTAAATTTTTTTTTAACAAGTAAATATTTTTCAAGTTCATCATTTTAATTTTTCATATTTTAATTGTATCAGGGATGAAAAAAATATATTTTAATTGTATTAGTTTATTTTAATTTTACACACTTTTAAGTTACATTAATTTCTGATTTTTTTATAATTTTATTATATATTTTTTAATATAAAAATTATGTAAAGTAATTTTTATTATATAAATTTTAATTTAAATTATTTATTTTCTCGATTTATACTTTTATAAATTGTTTGAATTTTTATTATTTTATCTAGTATTCATTCTAAAACTTTTACCTGTTCTAATTTTTTAAACTATTTTGATGTTTTTGATATTCTAAATTTTTTATTTCTAACTTACATTTTTTGTGACATTTTAACAATTTTTTTTTAAAAAAAATTTGATTAGTTTCAAGTGTTTGTAATAAAGTGATAGCAAGAGTGAACCATTCACACATGGGAAAAGTATAGGCGGCAGTACCCCAGCGTTTCCGTAATTGGATAGGTTCGAGTGGGGGGTTGGTTATATGGACGAATGGTCTATTTGTGAAAAGCGAAAGTGAAGTAGTCTGTTTTTGAAAAAGAAATAAAACGTGATAAAAAGTGATATTGTTTTCCTTTTAAGTCTCTTTGCGATATTTTCCCTAATGAATAAACAACGAATTTCCAGGAAAAGGGGAATATAATAATCTGGAAAGGTACGGCGTGTTTGTCCTGGCGGTGCGCTAGCGTATGGACATATTATTACGGAGTACTCCCTCCGTCCCAATATAAAAGGGACACACTTTCCTTTTCGGTCCGTCCCAATATAAAAGGCACATTTCCCTTTTTGGCAAACAAAACAGTGCAAAACAGTGCCAAACAGTGTCCAAATAGTGTCTAAACAGTGTCAAACAGTGTTCACCCTTAAAAACTCCCCAAACGCAAATGTGCCTTTTATATTGGGACGGAGGGAGTATTATTTTTTATGGGCATAAATTTTAGGCAGATATATTGGACCCTTAGAAATAAATTTTATGTATTTCATAATTGTTCAAGTCTGATTTAGTTTGACCTGATCTAAGATCGAAAACCATCCAAGTAAAAACATCCTAAGTCATAAAACTCCAATTAAAGAAGTTTTTAATAACTGAAATTAAACATATTTACAAAAATATTATTAATAGTTGGAAAAAGGGTCAAATAAGCCCTCCTACTACTGCGGAACCATCATTTAGACCCATGTACTATAAAAAGAGTCATATAAACCCATTTACTCTTCAAAAACAATCAATTGAGCCAAAATGACCTGAAGTTTACCTCTAATAGCAGGTAACCTTTTCTCTCACTTATTTATTTATTTATTGCCTTTTTTAATAGGGCATTCAAGCCTTTTTGGTCGTCCAAAAAAATTATTCATCCAGGGGATTCGAACCCGGGATGCGCGGTAGAGCAACAAGAACGAAACCCAGCTTGACTACATGCTTTTTATTTAAAAACGTCACTCGAAATGTATATATACCATAACGCTTCACACTAATTATTATTAATATAACTAAATTTTATTGATGTTGTTATATTATACTAATTAATATGTATTTCTATTGATGTTGTTATATTATACTAATTAACATGTGTTTCTATTGATGTTATATTATACTAATTAAAATTTATTTTTATTGATGTGTACTAATTAACTACAGAGTATTTGTGAAAAACTACATGTTTTAGCTCTTTTTTATTTATTCTTATAAGAATTATAAAATTTTGAATGAGAGTAAATTTTGACCATATAAAGTTAATCTAATATGTAATGAAGTATATTTTACATTTACTTTTTCACAAAATATTGACCTGTTTTCGAGACGAATTGATTCATGATCGAATAAATATTGACCCAACAAATAGATGAGTCATGGATCAACCTGGATTGGTGATGACATAATTATTGAGTTACGAGTCAATCCAGTAAACGCTAAAAAAATGGTCAATATTTATTAGTGAAAGAAAACATAAAATATAGTTCATAATATATTAGATTAAAGGCAAAAAGCGGTAAAAAGGAGTAAATCAATCCGTAAATGCATTAATAGGAACAAATTGTTTATCTTCCCAAAATAGGACTAAAATATACTCTATATTCATATTATACGCTTACTACAACTTAATAGGAAAATAATATTTTAATTTATAATAATAAAAAGCCCACACCGATTTTAATGTGTTTTATCTGTTTATTTATATTTAAAGTTTAAATTCTTGTTGGAAATATAATTTTTTATTTTTTATTAATATATATATATATATACATATACGTAAAATGTTTTCGAATGGTTTATATTTGTTTACTATTTCATTATAAATAATTTTTATTAGTTTTATGTTTTTATTAGGATAGTAAGGTTAGAATAGAAATATAGAGTATATTTTAGTCTTATTTTGGGTTAATGAATAATTTGTTTCTATTTATGCATTTACAGATTGATTTACTCCTATTTAACGCTATTTTCCCTTTAATCTAATATATTATGAACTACTACGTATATTTTATATTTTCTTTTATTAAATATTGACTGGGGTTTGTAGCGTTTACCGGATTGACTAATAACTCAATAATGATTTCATTACTGATCCAGAATCCAGCCATTTTCCGGGCCAATATTTATTGGGTCATGAGTCAAACCGTCTCGGAAACCGGTCAATGTTTTGTGAAAAGATAAATGTAAAATATAGTTAATTGTATATGAGATTAAATTTATAAGGTAAAAATTTACTCTCATTCAAAATTTTATAAATCTTATAGTGATAAAAAAAGCTCAGACATGTAGTTTTTCAACAAAACTTATAATGTGTTTAGAATTGGATACACAATATGTGAAACCAATATTTATATATTAAAATTATAAATAATAATGATAGATGTTTTGAATATTTCACAAATACTCTGTAGGTAATTAGTACTACCTCCGTCCCCCTATGTTTGGGACAAGAGAAGGTGGCACGGTTATTAATAAAGGTGAGTTTATGTGGTTGATATTGAATTGATAAAGTAAGAATAAAGTAGGAATGATTTAGAACCACACAAACTTTACCAAATAAGGTATGGGACAATCTTAGTGGGACGGATTGAAATGGTAAAATGGGACAATCATAGCGGGATGGAGGGAGTATAATATGACATCAATAAAAATAAATTTTAATTAGTATAATACAACAATATCAATAGAAATACATGTTAATTAGTATAATATAACATCAATAAAATTTAGTTATGTTAATAATAATTAGTGTGAAGCGCTATGGTATATATACATGTTGAGTGACCTTGTTTCACAAAAAGCACGTAGTCAAGCTGGTTTCCGTGCTTGTTGCTTTGCCGCGCATCCCGGGTTCGAATCCTTTGGAGGAATTATTTTTTTGGACGACCAAAAAGGCTTGAATGTCCTATTAAAAAAGGCAATAAATAAATAAATAAGTGAGAGAAAAAGTTACCTGCTATTGGAGGTAAACTTCAGGTCATTTGGGCTCAATTGATTGTTTTTGAAGAGTAAATGGGTTTATATGACTCTTTTTATAGTACATGGGTCTAAGTGATGGTTCTGCAATAGTAGGAGGGCCTATTTGACCCTTTTTCCTTAATAGTTTCATAGTTACTTAAGCATAAAAATGGAACATAACTATAAGAATATACTCGTGTATTTCAGATGTTTTTACTTTGGATGTTTTGAGTTCCAGACCAAACCCGACCAGACTTAAACAAACCAGACAAGACCAGACCAACGAATTTTTGTCCAAGTAAAAACATCCTTGCTACTATAGTTGTAAAATTATACACCCATTTGCACCACATCCATTCTACATTTTTACATAACTAGCAACATGTATTGAAACTTCAACACATAAGACCAACTAATAGAGGTTTTCACCATTCTATAGTCCTTTCGGTGGATATATATAGAGAGGGATATATAAAACACAAGCACCTCATTATTGGTTGAGAGCATATGAATCCTCAAGTAAAAGAAGAGAAGTGTTTGCTCAAGTGAGAAAAATGCAATAACTTGCATGACAGCAACTATCATCACTTGAAAATTTCTAATGTAATTATGAGTTTTCTTAAATAAGTAGATTTCCTTCCATACTAATAACAAATGGGCTGAGGGGTCAAGACTCATGAAGGAAGCTGTGTTGGCCAAATTGGATGCACGAAGGGAAAGCAGACTGTTCTGGTTTCAGGCTCTTGAATCTCATGTACCACTTCATATGCATCATTCATCATCAGATTACACTTAAGAACAGTTTTACCCCATACCATAAAAACCACATTGCCATTAGTTGAATGAGGAAAGGGGGCATAGAGCGTCTGATTGTTTGGCCACCGCAGGAATCTCTCATCTCTGTATCTCTTATCGTGAACCAAAACCCATGAAGAATTCAACTTCCACACCTTGAAGTTTAAAACCACTTCTGCTTTCTCAATATATGGCATCAGCACAACTTGTAATAACCTCAGCTCTCCACCTACTGCTCCAATTCGTTGTGTGACAGAACCTCCTGGAAGCGCTTCATACCACCAAAAATCCTGGGGGAAGTCAATAACTACACACGGACTTTCCTTCATATCTTTTGAAATAACCCTATCCACACTATGTATCCACTCCAGCCAATAAAAGATCCCGCTGCATGTCACAACATCTATAACACAACCACAATATAACTGTTTGGGTGGAGGATAAGATACACTTATGGTTTCCCACTTTCCAGACTTTGAACTAAATATTGATATGCATCCCAAATCATGATCAGGGTACTGATCAACATGGAACAGTACCACCTTGAAGTGGTTAAGTCGTTTTTTGTTGTCACACAGTAATGCATGTCCCGCTATAAAAAACTCGGAGAGATGGGGATTGGGGAGCTGATAATATTGTTTGGTGATTGGATTACAGATGTAGTAAACACCCGACGTTGGAGAGGAGACAAGCAACAAGTCATTACACAAAGCTCTTATAAACACTTGGGAAGGCAAGAAATCCAAATAGGAACTGACGCTACTGCACGCTGCATCCGCCTTTCCATTATGGGGAAACATACTCTCTTCATAACATATCTTAGAAATTAGTTGAAAATATGAGCAGAGATGCCGTTCCAACATGAGAGTGTTCTGAGCTTTATGAATAACGATGGTGTAGGGCTGCGGAAAGCGATGTCGGTGTTCCTGGTGATGGGAAATGAATCTTTGAATGAAGTGAGGGTGAGAAATGAAAGAATGCCAACGACGACACACAGCCCCACACAGGATTGCTGATCGACAATTGGGGAGGCGAAGAAATATCTCCAACAATATGTCTTCATTGGCTTCTTCCAAGACATTAGATGCTGCGGGATCATGATTTGCATCATCTCCTTGACTTACTTCCCTTTTCTGGAAATATTATAAGTTATAACATACACATGTGAGATTGTGAGCACTACGTAGCAACAAATAACATGCCAATTCCCCTGAAAAAATACTCCAGTTTTAAAAACACAAAGAACTGAAGAAGACTTTAAACATCATCACTTTCTTTCCCCTATGATTAACAGACATATGAGAACTACATAACATTGTTCTAATAATAAATGGTCCTTAAAAAACCTTGCCTTAGAAGAAATAAAGATGATATTTTATTGATCACTACAAAGAAGAAATAAAGATTATATTTTATTGATTGCTACAAAGAAGGGAAAATTCCCTAAATAGGAGCACAACAGTTTTGAAATTTCTAAATAGGACCGTCATGTTTTTATTCCCTAAATATAAGTAATTTCTGCCAAGTTTGGCATTATCAGGCTTTAAACATGTGAAACGAAAAGGTTCACCAATTCAGTATATTAACTTTGAAATTTGTAATCCAACGGATGAGATTCACAGGTGAAAGTAAACTCACCCCTAATCATTGTTCTAAAAGGCCATAGGCGCTAGTCGGGCACCTAGTCGGAGACATATAAATTGCATTTTTATCTATATTTTGTACAAATATGATAAGTAATATTGTATTCTTGTGTGTATAAAATACATATATAGACATACATTAATAAACATGAATGATGAAATTATCACATTTAACCATACGTTGTATATGATAACTAATCATTTAATATCATTATATTATAAATATGAATAATACTCGTAATAAAATTTAGTTATATATACAAACATATATAGTCTTTATCTTAATTTACAACTTCATTTCTTTATATATAGGGCTAAAGATAAAGTAATTATATCGCTTAAAAAATTAAAATTATAAAGTAAAGTAATGTTCGGCGAATCTAGACAACCTAGGTGGATGATTAGGCGCTCTGGGCGGACAACTAGGCGTCATAGAAGACCGACTAAGAAGCTGTTCTCTTCACCTGATCTGAAGGTTTCTGATTTGAATTTTTTAAGTTTTGATCTAATCTCATCTGAATTTTTCCGAACTAATCTGATCTGATCTGAATCTTTCTAATCTGATCTGAATGTTTTTTATCTGGCCTGATCTGAATGTTTCTAATCTGATCTGAATCCTTCTAATCTGATCTGAATCTTTCTGATCTGATCTGATTAGAATATTTCTATAATTATAATTACAATTATTATAATTATAATTGTAATTATATTGTAATTACAAATATAATATAAATAAAATTATAATTATAATCATAATTATAAAAAATATAATAATAATTAAAAGTAAATTTAAAATTATAATAATTATACCTATTACACTAATTATAACTATAGATACAATTATAATTGTAATTATATTTTTAATTATAATTACTTATATAATTATAATTCTAACTATAATTATAATATTTATTTCTATAATTATAATTCTAATTATAAATACAATTATAATTACACTGCAGAATAATATTAATAATAATAATAATAATAATAAATACAACAACAATAATAACAATAACAATAACAATAATTATAATTATACTAATAATCACTATATTATAATAAGAACATAATAAAATAGAATAAAATATAATAAGAATATAACAAATGATAATAATAATAATACTAATAATATATTAATAATAATAATAATAGTAATAATAATATAATAATATAATGTTGGTGTTGTTATTATTATATTATATTATTTTTATTACTTAACAATAATACGTAGTAATATAATATTATAATAATATTATATATTATTATTATTATTATTATTATCATTTTATAATAAATATTATAATATTATTGATATTATAATAATGTTATTATTATAATTTAATATTATAATAATAATAATATTATTATTTAATAATAATAATGTATTATTATTATTATATTAATATTATTAATGTATTATTATTAATTATTGATTATAATAATAATTATTATAATTAATATATTAATAAAAAACTATAATGCATGTTTGAATGTTTCTGATCTGATTTGATGTGAATGTTTCTGATCTGGTTTGATCTGATTTGAATGCTTCTGATCTGATCTGAATCTTTCTGATCCGATCTGATTTGATCTGAATTTTTCTGATCTGATCTGATCTGAATAAAATAAGATTAATCAATAAGTAATAAGAATAAGACGAAGAGAACAACTTCTAATTCACCAATTAGTCGGAACACCTAGATGAAAATTAGGGCGTAGGTAGGTACAAGTCGAACGACTAGAACGTTTTTTAGGAGAGTGCCCCTAATGCAATAAGACGAGTAAATCCATTCGGTGGATATAAGCCAAAATTATCTCGGACAGTGCCCCTGCATATGGACTGCAATGGATTGCAATTTTGAACTTTCAACCACAAAAGCATATGTAATAAACACAAATATGAATTAACAACACAAGTTTGTAGTGGGATATCATCAACAGGTAATTCCTCAAATACAAATATTCTAATAAAAATTTATGAAAGCGGGTAGTTCAATCAATTAAATTCAAGCAGAGTAAAATTCAAAGAGGGGAATCAACCTGAATTTTGGAGCAGTAAAACATCTGGGAAGTCGCTATTGGTTTCAATCCAGCTGAATATAATAATAAATAAATACGTTAAAACTTAAAGGGTTGGTTTCCGAAGTAGATAGAATCGGCAGATTTGAAGTAGCTGAGGAATCCCTTTTGGCAACTGGAAAGGGAATTGGGGCACGATGAGTCCAACCCATTTTGTCAGGGAATTAGGGAATTGGGATGATTAGAGATAATTTCAATTTACACTCTATTTTATTGTTTAAACTAGTTTTCAAACCCGTGCAATGCATGGCTATACGTAATTTATCTAACTTTAAATTTGATTTTTTCGGGGTCATATATAATGTGATCACAAGCAATATAAACCCAATCTAATATAGGGTCTGTTTAAGAATACTAAAATTGGTCGAATTAGCTTATGTTGCTGAAATTGATTAAATTTTAACTGAATGGACTTATGTAAAGTATATTCTATTTATAAAATAAATGAAACAATTATATGAAAAATAGTTAAAATGATCTTCTATATAAGCAATCTCAAGTAAACATAATAATTGTTATGGACCCGATTTTAAAGATTTCATTATCTCACATCTTCTAAATTAGTTTATTATGCACATCAATTTTTTTTCTAATATTCCTCATTCAACTTGGTATGAAATACTGAGTACATGCTTTTAACTTTTAATAATAAGATGTTACATTTTACTCATTATTTCATCACATTGTAAATGTAAAAAATGGAGTTTTTATACAATTAACTCATTATTTCGTTAGATCGAAAACGATTTTTAATTGTTATGAACATCTAAATTATTTCATTGAGCATTTCAAATAATATGTTTCTAATATTTTTCATTCAACTTGGTGTGAAACACGTATTTTTAAATTTTAATTGTGAGATCTTACATTTCACTCACTAATAAGGTCCGGTAGATTAAAGTTTTGGGTTTGATTTGTTTGAATTAGTATGGTCTGGTAGATGTCTATTTTACATTTTATATATCTTATTATTATTAAAGTTTGATCTGGTCTGATATAGTCTGGAACTGAAATCAATCCAATTAAAAATATTCTATTGAATCAAATTAGGAATTTGTAAACATACAAAAAGTTCCTAATTTGGATCAGGAATCTATTTCATATGCAAAGGCTTATTTAAAATGTACTTGTAAAAATAAGGTATTTTTTGCTAGGCTAAACGTATTTACTTGTGATAATATGTTTGTGTGGATGGTATCAACTTTCATTCTTATTACATAATAAAGTAAGCTTTTAAATATAAAAAAGCTTTAATGAATATCTAATAGTATTGGTTTCTTTTTTTTTTTTTTTAATTTCAACAGTATGTACATGGTTAAAATTTTCATCATTGTGTTAATAATTAATAAAGATGTGTATAAGATGCAGAAAAAACGAAGTATTTTGTTACCAAAATAAATAAGGTGGATTTCTTGGAACTTTTGTTTCCATATCAATATGCAATCAAAAATAGAATCTAATAAAAATAAAAGGTATAATAATAACTAATAATCGTTATATATAATGATATGGCAGAATTATGTAGCGCTTCGTATGCTCTTAAAAGTTCCTCTTATATAAATATACTAGCGTGGGCGGGCGCGTTGCGCGACGGTTGGTGCCCAACGCTCGGTAAAACAAGAAAATTGTACTTTATAAAAAAGATGCATAAATACATCACAAAGAATGATTATGGGAGACCTCTAACATTTCAAACACCCAAATTAAAATCAAAACATAAAAGAGTAGTTCAAGTATTGTAGTTGCATCATTGTAGTTGCATCATTGTTGTTGTTTAGCACCAGTCAACACCTGAAACACCTGAAATATAAGCAAAAGCATGAAAATAGTTGTTCAATAATTGCAGTTACATTAATGATGGGAATCAGACAATTTATAAGAAAACATTATTAGAAATTAAATCCAGCAAAACCAGCTTTATACATTCAAACGAAATTTGGTTTTGTTTTATCTTTTTGAAGGAAAAACAGAATTTTGTAAAGCATGTTATAGGCTAAAATATCTATAGTTCAACAATTATCATGTGGTTAGCTTTTGTTTGGGTAAAAGGCTAAAAAAAGTTTGAGTGTAATGAACACACCATTTGTTCCGAGCTGCATCCGGAGATGCAACAATACCACAATCTTTAAGTTTGAGAATATTCATAGATGCATCTGAAGACAGAACAATACCACAATCTCTAAGTTGAGAATATTCCTAACCGCATCTAGAGATGTAACTTCTTCCAATTTTTTTTTTCTGAAAGTATAATGAAATAAGATATGCAAGCTTAAGATATGCCAAACCATTTATCAGAAAACCATAAACCATTTAGATGTTTTGGCATATCACTGGGCATAGTGTAGCATTGCTTGCATATTTTATTTCATTATACTTTCAGAAATAAGTTGGAAGCAGTTACATTTCCAGATGCAGCTAGGAATATTCTCGAACTTAGAGATAGAGGATTACTCTAAATTAAAAGGCTAATAGATACCGTGTTGCCATCCAGTTGATTTCTTCAGGTTCAACTCTACCCGGTTTCTTTTCCCATCATTATGAATGTCATCATTGTCATCTTCATAGGGATAAAAACACTCTTCACCTATTCAAACAACATTCACAGCAGTATTACAAATTCTATTTCGAAATTATAAGCATTGAGAAATAATTAAAATACAAATAATACGTTGGTAGTGTAAATTATTCTGTTTATCTATTTCATTTTTCAGCTCCCAATGATGAGACTCACTTTAGGAGGGACAAAAACATTCTTCACCTCTTCTATCACTTTCCATTTCAGATGATCTATTTCATCAAATTATTAATAACTGTAACGAATTTGAGACTCCCTTTAGGAAGTGCAAACCCCTCTTGCACATGAACACACCTGCCTTTCTGAGTCTTTTAGATTACCTAAAATTTAACAAAGCAGAAAATAAGATCAAACCTTAGCTGACCAAATGAATTTAAGATGAAAACATGCTCACCTCATTTTCTACTTTTTTCATTGGTTTATAACCAATGGTAAGCAATGTATTATCACGCACGTCTATAAGGTTCATTTAGGTCCATCGTTGTAGTACTTTTTGTGCATTTTAGAAAAATCAACTTCATGCAAATAGGTTGTAACTGTCACGCCCCGGACCTACCGGACACGTCAACAACCCGCCGTACAGTACGAATAGTCAACCGCAGTCCAACTCATCCATACTATACTAGGCGTCTTGAATACCATTCACACATAGTACATCCATAAACAAACATAATGTAAAATAATCATTTAAAGCAGCGGAAACATTTACTCAAGTGTTTATGCCACACTTTGGCAAACATGGGCATACAAGCCCCCAAATAATTATTTTAAAATAATATCCATGAGCATCATTTAAATTGTTTTCAAAACAGAAACAGAAGAAGCACGAACCACGTCTTCCTCCCTTGATCTCCCCGAAGCGACGGGTGGTGGTAGCAACCTTCAAGTCCTACCTGAAACTGTGAGGTGGCCTCCCCCGTGAAGGGGAGGTCAGTACTTGGAAGCATTTGACAAGTACAATGACAACTATACTAAGTATAATCAATGTTTCAATTTCTAAGACCCTCAAATAGAGTGATATCATAATATAATGATAGTTATTATTCAATCCTTATTATCATTATAATAAGTCAATTTATAAATTTGTCGGCGCATGGCCCCTTTTTATATATTTCATTATACCCGTCGTTAGCACGACGCCGCCCGTAGGTCTTATCATCCTTACGAGACTTGTCACCGCTCTCCGAGGCCTCATCGGGCCCTCGGGCCGGAGTCCAACATCCCGCCCCTGGACTCATACCCATCATCCCGTAGGAAGGTAAGGTCTATTCGGGGTCCTATCTTAAGTGTTACCGCTGTCGGGAGCCTCGTAAGGTCTCCGGTTCGGATTCCACCCTAACCCGTGATCACGATGTAAGTCCATGCTATCCAACCCCGCTCTCTAGAGTCGGGAAGGGCCATGGTCCTTACTATTTACCAATATTCTACCGGCTAGCCTCAAGGACTACCGAAATACACCCGTAGGCCAATCCTACATCTAGGATCAATTTAATATTCGCTTTATCTTGGGTATCCCTTAAGGCCTACCCCTAGCATCACTTAAAGTTCATACGTATCCACCTTAGTACCTCTTAAGACTACATAAGGCTCAACATTTTACAATCCAAACATTGGATCAATTTTAACACATTTTCATTCCAACACCCCGACTAGTATCCTAATACTAGTCGGATAAGTTCCAACAAAACCAATTTTCAGTTCATAGTCATATAGACAAATTCCAAACTAATTTTCCATTGAAAATATAGTTCACATCAATATACAAAATATAACTTTTAATCTCCCATATACTCTTATATGAAGTTAAAATTATATTTCAACACATAGTTTATAGTTAATTCCTTTATCAAGCCAACATGCTTATATCACATAATCATACACAATTTATTCTTGAATTTGTATATTATGCTCCTTTCCTTATAGACAATAGTCTTCTCATTCTTAGGCATTATTAATCATTAATAATCCTTAAAACATATTTAATTACCTTAGGTAATCTCATGAAATTAACCCAAAGATTATAAGCAATATAGTTAGCCATCCTCACCTTATGAAGTGCTGAAATAGTTGCCGTTGTTAAGCCCTCCGATCAATCCCCGTTCTAAACCGATTGGAGATGAAAAATCTGGACAGCAGACGAAAGCCGGGCGGCTTTCGTGAAAGGTGGGCGGCTTTCGTGGTCTGCAGCTACGAACAGCCTCCTATACTTGGCGGTTTCCGGCGGTTTCAACTCCTATCGATTCCACGACTCTTCTAAGTTAAATACCACCACTTTATAACATTATTCTACACTTTTAAACGTGTAGAACTTCATGTTTAATCCACCATATGATTTATTAAAAATCATACAAAATAATACTAGTTAATTGATACTAGTTGGATTCTTACCTCAAATCCTAGCCTTTTTGTGTTGGGAATACTTCCTTCTTGCTTCCTCCAACCTTGGACTTTTTGAGAGCTCTTCCTAGAGGTCCTTCCTTCTTGATATGGCCGAATGATTGCAATGGGAAAGGGAGAGGTATTGTATCTCAATCAAACCTCCAAGTTGAGGTGTTGATAGGCCATATGGGGTGATGTTTTGTCTTGTGCAATCTCATCAT